AGATATAAATGGAACTAAAAATACATAAAATATTGTATTTTCTCTGTTATGTCTGCTTATCATATTCAAATGGATCTTATTAACCCCTCTTTATTCTATGAATTAGTTAAGAATCCGATCTTTTCCCTAATATGAACCAGTTGGAACCCAACAAAGGTGATGGTACTTTTTTGCCAAAATTTATAAGATAGACTGCCTTCTAGGGATAAATTGTTCAAAAGGGAAGTGATTTTTTATTCAAATGGGGTCTCTAGTCCCATGTGTGTGATATTGGTTGAGTCAGTTTCCCAACTTTTCGTTACTTATGAGTTAGTTTTTCCAGATTGGTATAAGATATTCTAGTGATTGGAGTGGCATATGCTTATTCCTAGTGATCATAGACTTATGTTTGAGTTTTCCCTCTCTTTAGGTGGTAGAGCTTAGTGTAAGGATGATTTTGTTATGATTTGACATACTTTTGTCTGATTTATTTGAAGGGTCCGTAACGATGGAATTTTTAACGATGTTCAAAAAATTGTGAAAGAAGTTGAGGAGAAGGGATTTTTTTGTGTATGGATATAGTTTTTAGGTAAAAAATAGGTGGACTAGTGTACTTTCTATTATTGGCTTCAAAGTCATGTCTTCTACATTAACCTATAAAGAACTACATGTTTGATTGTCTTATGAGATTGGTAGTGGTGTGGTTTCTAGATTCTTTCTTTGTGGACTTTGATCTATTGTTGATGGTTTTGGTAGCCTTAGATGATCTAGTCCAAACCCTATAGGTGAGCTTCTACCTACTTGGGTGTATTTTTATGAGGTCCATCTGATTGTTTAGTTATTTTGGTGAACCTTTTGTTTTTGTTTTACTCGTTGTACTTTTTTGTATGGTCAATTTAGCACTTTTTCTACTAACTAACTCTATCATATTTTCTATTTTTGTAGTTTCGTATATTTATTAATATTATATTTTTCGATAAAAAATGTATATCTACACCACACACGCCTCTTATATTAATAAGAGTATATTTTAAAATTAAATTGATGTACCATTTTTCATGATCTTTATATTGGTCCAATCAATTGAATCATTAATTTGGCTTATGAATCTTTTTTTTTTTTCAATCTCTAGCATATAAATAGAGGTATCTCCATTAATATTTTAATCTCCCAAAATATGAGCTCTCTATCTCACTCCTCACACTTTCTCTGAAAACATTTTTCTACTTCTTCTCTCACCTTAATTTAACCAGAGCGCTTCAAGAAAGTCTTTGTATTTAACTAAGGTTTTTGTTCTACAAAAAGGGTAATATTATAAATTCACCTAGAGGTATTTTTTTCTTGGTTGAATAATTTCTTTCAAGAGAGTGTTTGTTTGGGTTCAAAACTAAACTAGTTAAAATCTCATTTTGGTTCATTGCTCATCCGTGTAAAACCTCGATTCAGTTCAGAGGATAGCCAATTAAAAACTCTACATTTTGTTCTAGATAAGTTCGTATAAAATCTAGGTTTAACTTGGGGACTAACTCTTTCAAGTTTGTGTTTGAAAGGAAAACTAACTAGTTCTCTCTATTGTTCGTTGCAATTAATTTGAAACTTCATTTTCCTTCTATAAGGGAGTTCGTAAACTCAACCTACTAAAAGCTTATATGCATTACTACATACCCTCAAGATCTAAGCTTTGGGGATATGATTAGGTCACTTAATTTAGACTGAACATCTATAATTTTTTATGTCTTCTCATTTCCCTTATCTCTTTACTTTCCCGCATATTTTCTTTCCACTATTTTTCCGCTGCTGTTATTCAAAGGTTTTTTATCAAAAATGTTTTTAAACTCTGAAAATAAAAAACTAATAATGTTTTAAACTATCTTTTTTCAAACCCTCACAATTCACTCCTCTCTTATACGTGGAGTCATATGTCCAATATTAGTTAGGTCTAGCTGTAGTAGTCACTACAGACCATAGCCCAGCATAAAATTCTCCCCATACAAAATACCTTAGGCTATTACGTTCTGACCATAACCAGTGCTACGGGCCGTAGCAAAGCACATTTTTATGTTCTTTCTTTTTCCCTGTATTTTCCAGGTAAAACATCCATAATTCACATCATTAACACACCATAACTCAAGTATAACACATAATCAGCATGCTAAGGCAGTGTACTAATAATTAAAACACATATTTCCAATCACCCACACATGATTCTAACCTAAAATCTCACATCCAATCCAACTTAAGATCATCTATCCAAGATAAGACCGAAAGAACCTCACCATTGGATCAAAATTTTAGAATTTGAATGAAGATGGAAAGTGTGTTTTATGCTCTTGATCTCTTTTC